CCTCTCCTGCATTCTGCAAATTGCCTTTTGCCCATTAACCCAGTAATGGTTTCCCTTTCAGTTTCCATGACTTTGCAGGTTTTGGTATCTCTCTGAGCCCTCTCTCCATTCTACTTGTATGTTCTGCATCTGGACTGTCACCTTCACAGTGGGTTTTGCTTATTTGTTTGGTAGAAAGAAAATTCTCCAATTGTCTCAGCAGAGAAGGTATCCCATATCAGATAGGTGTGTGGATGGCATTCCTTCGCATGTAAAGCCCTTAGGTACCACTGTGCCACAACATCTTAGAATACCCATGACAATCATTTGAAATCACATGAACATTTTTAATCTTCCCATTGAGGAATTACATGGTAGTGAGTCCTCTGGACTCCCATGTTGGTCATAGATGCTATAACTGATTCTTCCTTTGTTTTTTTTTTCCTTTTGTTGTTGTTGTTTTCAAGTTTATTTTGAGAGAGACAGAGGCCACGTGAGTGGGAGAGGGGCAGAGACAGGAAAAAAGAGAGAATCTCAAGCAGGCTCCACGCTGCCAGCTGTATAGAGCCTGATGCGGGGCTCGAACTCACAAAACCGTGAGATCATGACCTGAGCTGAACCAAGAGTTGGGCGCTTAACTGACTGAGCCACACATGTGCCCCACTTGTTCTCCCTTCGAAATCTCGTGTACCAATGATGTTTCCAGTTACTACAATAGGATATCTGTTAAACCTCTTTTCTAAGTCAAATGTTGTTTAAAGGTCATTATGCAGCCATTCCAGCCTGAAGGAATCTCATTCTTCCTTCTTCTTTATAATCTCTAACAATGGATAGACTGGTGCAAACTTGAACCTGAATCTAGAATGCAGAGAACCCCAAATATTACTGTCCTTTCCCCCCTAAAGGTGACCTTGAGACTGGGACCGGCACAGTTCCTGAAGATTAGCTCATGACCATGTGTTTGTTTGATTCTAGGTTTTCTGACCAAGCCTGAACTGGTAACTGGCCCTGTTTTACCTATTGATTCTGTCAGATAGAAATTTTATTTCTACCGGGTCTCAATTACTACTGAGCAATTTACAAAATAAATATGATACATGGCACCATGAGGTTTACATTCTGGTGAAAGAAAAAGATGAGAAAGGAAAAGAATAAATCTATAATATACCACTGGAGAGTGGTATGTGCTATGAGAAAAATAAACAGGGTGACCTGGTGGAAGGTACAGTCCCCTACTGTAGATATAGTCAGAGACAATCATGGGCTGTTTCAAGAAGTAAGTATAAGGGAAAACACTGTACAAATAGGCATTTCATTGTTATTTTATTGACGTCATCTGATTTTAGGGCACGTACCAAACACAGTTATTAGGAAACAGATGGCACACTTAAGTGATGGTATTGAAGAGAGTTTAAAGAGGGATTACAAAGCTGTGGGTAGGATTAAAAGAAATTGAAAAGGGCTAGTGATGGTCCCTCTACCACGTTTAGGCATGGAGGCCCAAGGAGAGGGAGGAGTTTTTGGAAGTTGGAATGTGTTGTTATAGTTGTAAGAGAGATGCTCACCACAGGCTGTGGTTTAAAAACAACAAAACAAACAAACAAACAAACAAAACCCAGCTAGATCACGTCTCATCAGAAATACACACCCCCAAATCATTCTCTTCCTGTTTTCTAACCTCTCCCATTGCCCCATAATTAGTGGAACCCAATCAGAAGCCAAGGGGCAGGGGATCCTGAATGCTGTATGCACAGGGACCAGCCTCCCAAGGTGCAAAGCCCAGTGGAGAAGGGTGGAAATGTGTACAGAGGGCCAAAGGAAAATAGCCATTATGAGATATAAAGAGCTGGGTTGATGTTGCTGCTGATGATGATCTGCCATTGTTGAAACATCAATTAAGGGAAATAGTCACATAAAGGATGCAGGAAATCAATACACAACTAATGTCCCACCATAAAACTGTCCTAGGCAGGCAGGAGTTTCATGACGTAGGACCACCAAGACTGTCTGCCTTACAAAAAGATACAATAGTCTTTGTAACTCAACAACCAGCAAATGAAGTGTCATCCTATAGCAAATCCTGTTATAATGAGATCGTACGCTGCAATATTTTTAAAAACTCAAGGCGTCTTGACACTTATAACAAGAGGACACCAACTTATTTCAGTGACTGTGACATTCAAGATGACCAGCTTTTGGTAGTTTAAGCTCTGGTTTGTCCTGAATAAAACCAAAATTGCCTTTTGGCTGGTCTTGCATAAATTTGGATTTCAGGTAATAAGTGACAAGATGAATTTTCCTTTCTAATCAAGTCACTTGTCATCCTTCCATCCACCTTCCATTACTTGTGCTGTCTTTAGTGTTCAAGATCTATCTCTATTTATATACCAAATTATGGAAAAGTATATAAGGGATAGAACGGAATTTTCTTTTCTGGGTGTTTTTTCGTATCCTCTCAATTTCAAAGTCATACATGTATGGCTTATTTCACTTCAAACCAACTCCACATATTAGCAAACATTTATTGAGTGTCTATTCTGTTTAGACAAAAACCGCATATGCTAAAATTACCTATGAATTCACCTTACTCACCCAATGTGTACCATACTGTATTGTGACTTTTGTGTTTACAGCCCTATAGCAGTTTACCTATATTCTCTTTACTCAATATTACTCCATGACTAACAATAAGCACTTGATTTTTTTTCCCTTGAGGATATTGATATTATTATATCAAGACCTATTTGCCTGGCCACTCCAGCAGGCTTACTTACATCCACTGATTGTTTAAAATAACAAGTGTAGTGGTGACATTGCACACTAGCCTGCAAGTTGGGTTTGCCTGTGTTATGACTCCACTGTGCTGCACCAGGCACCGGGGAGACACCTGAGATGATCCTAGTGCACTTGCCAAATTCAAGGGCATCCTTGAATGTCGGAGGAAGCCTCATGGGGGAGAAGCGTAATGAAAGCACAAGGGAGAAGTCCGTGAATGTCTTAAGTAGAGCAGAGGAAGGGGTTAAATCCGAGGGCTCTTTGAAGGGCTAATGGGAGCAGAAGGCATTTGAGCAGGGACTGAAGAGAGAGGATTTCAAGGGGACTAGGATTTCAGAGGTATTCAGGGCAAGTGAAGATGTTGGAAGTTGCTACAGCAAGGGTAGAGAAGCAAGCCTGCCGCAGTGGCAAGAGTAAGGCCAAGAGGGTAAAGCAAATATGGATGTGAAGCCCCGCTCTGCCTCTATGAGACCTTGGGCATTTCACTCATGAGATGCCATGGCCTCATTCTTTGAATTGGGAAAATAGCACTGTCTCATAGGAGTGTTGTGAGGCTTAGATGAGCTGAGGTGTTCATTGAATACTAATACCCTTCCTCCGTACTTCACTTTTGTTCTGAAATCACCTCCAAAGAAGGCAAAAGAAGCATTTGAGTACTGATTCTCAAAATACATAGTAGCAGTTAATATGTACATTGAGTGTTTAATATATGCCAGATGCTGAGTTAAACATTCTGTAGGCATCCTCTCTCTGAGTTGTGTTCTCTCATCCTGCCCATTTTGCAGATGAGGAAGTGGGCTTCAAGAGGGGAGATAAACGCCCCAAGACTAGCAGGTGGTAGAGCATGAATTTTCAGCCAGGTGGTATGGCTCCAAGGCACATGTTCTTAAATGCTGCACTAAAGTAGGCCCTGTTGAAGTTCACTCATTAATTCAGCACAAACTCGCTGAACATATAGTATGTGTCAGGACTGCCACCAAAACAAAGAGACAAAGGCTTCATGAGGCTCTGGTCTGTAGAGGAAGAAGGCCAATAAACAAGTGAATTGTATAATATTTGGAAGATGGCAAGTGCCACAGAGCAAGAAAAAGCATGACTGTCGGTAGGGAGTACGGTGGGAGGTGACAGTGTTTAAACATGGTGGTCCTTCGAGGAGGGCACTTGTTGGGATGAGCACTGGGTGTTGTGTGGAAGCCAATTTGACGATAAGTTATATTGAAACAAAATAAACATGGCGGTCTTAGGAAGAGCTACAGAGCAAAGGTGGCATTGAGCAAAGACTTGAAGGAAGTGAAGCAGGGCCCTTAAGGGTTATCTGGGGGTCAACAAATGAAAGTACCTTGGAATCGGAGCAAGCTGTGTTACAGAAACAGCAAGGAGGTCAATGTAGCTGGGGTGGACCGAGTGAGGAAGGGAGCAGCTGGCCACAGCTTGTAAGGCCCTGCGGGCCTGTAAGGACTTTGGCTTTCCTAAGAATGAGCTGGGAGCCATGGGTGCATTTGAGGCAGATAAATGGCTTCGTATATTATAACAGTATCCATTGCCCATGTTTTTGAGGCAGGTGGATGAGCATACAGGCTGCGACAGCCACCCAGGCAAAATGAAGATGGTGTCAATGGCAGAGCAGTAGCAGGAGTGACAGGTGGTCACATCCAGACACACCGTGAAGGTGGAGCTGACAGGGTTTGCTGAGGCATTAAAATTAGGGTATGAGAGAAAAGTGGAGGCTATGAGGAAGCCCGGGCTTCGTTAGCTTCCATAGGCAGATGGTTCGATGGCTCCCCGCTCACCACATTTTCTCTCCCACTAACCAGCGCACTACACGAGGAAAAGGAAACCACTCTTCTAGGTCTTTCACATTTGGGGTAATAACCCGGTGACTGTGAAAATAAGGCTCAGAGGAACACAGGCGTGCCTGTGCAGAGTGTCCATAGTGCCCATGAAGTTGGGGGTCTTTGCTGCTATTGGCTCCAATACAACAATAGACTCCTTTTCCAGGCTCCCTAACACACACAAAACTGTTTAGTCTGGGAGGGAATGGGAGTCCCTGGCAGAACGTGGAATATCTATCTCGGGAGTTCTGCTACCTGTTTTGCTCTAATGACTAATTTTTTTTTAAGCTGCAGAAAATATAAAGGCATACCAATTCAGCACAAGTTTCCCTCTGCATCTGGGAAAAAGCTATTTCCTTGCACCTAATTTCTCCTTTTCCCTCTCTACCCAAATACATGTATTTTGTCCTTGAGAAGACGCCTTGGGTTTTGAATACATGAACATGTGACCACACACCTAAGTGTGATCCTTAGCAACCACCACAAATCAAACAGGAGTGATGCCGTGTTTGGACCAGATCTGATTTCATAGAGATCATCAAGTAAGAGCATCTATCTATCTATCTATCTATCTATCTATCATCTATCGAGACAGACAGAGAGAGAGAGAGAGAGAGAGAGAGAGAGAGTCTGGTTCTCCCATTTACCTGCTGTGTGACCTAGGCCACATTAAAGAGGAACTAGGAAAGCTCCTTCCCTTAACTCTGTCGTGGGACATTGACAACACCAACCTCTTAGGGTTTTTATGAAGCGTGAAGTAAAGCATAGAAGTCCCTAACTTAGGGCCTGCCACATAGAAAGTCCTCAATAAATATTGTCTGCTGTTTTATTATGAGTCTGATTATATGTGTAATAAGCTTAATTAAGTGCTTGCAATAAAGTAGATGCCCAATAAATGTTAACCCATGTCCCTTCTCTCTCAGTAAAATCGGGTTCCAAGTCTTCCCAAACTGGAGCAGATTATAATGATACATGGAGGGAGTTGCCCAGTGGTACCAGACAGCTCAAGAAGTTTCAGGGCTGAGTGGCAGTGAGGATGATGAGCAGTGGACATGTTCTGGGACATAAGATGAGCACCGCCTGTGACTGATCAGAACTGAAAAGTGAGCGCACATACCTTCTCTTCTTTCCACCCAAGAGCCAAGCGCTTCTAAACATTGCAGCAGCTGTTGCCGTAATAATGCTACCTAGTAAACAGCAATGAAACCTCAATGGCATGTAATAAAAGTTAATTTTTGCTTGTTGACTGTACTCAGCAGTCAGGTAGCCCTGCTGGACTGGGCCAGGCCGGGAGAACCTCAGCTAGACTTGCTCATGCATATGCAGGCAGGGCCTTCTGGGGCCTGGCCAGTCAGGGCTGGCTGGGTGTTGATGGGAACGATGCTAGGGCCTCCATCTCCTCATCCTGCAGACTGGACTTGTTTGCCAGGTGCAGTAGGGTTCCCAAGAGAGAAAACAGAAGCACACGGGCCCCTCGAGGCCTCGGCACGGAGCTGGCACACTGTCTCTTCTATCACTTTCTATTTGCCAGAGTTTGTTGTTGACAAGCACTGGCCACACAATGGGCATGAAGACAAGGGAGAGGAGGTATGAAGAACTAAGGACAACTCTGCATTCAATTTGCCACATGCATTAACTTATGTAAGTCAGTGCCTGCATGGAGGAGAAAGGGTGTCCACACTCCAGTCCCCTATTACGCATATCTGGGTCATCTGTTGCAAATTTCCGAAAGATTGACTGTTGACCGTAAGAGTTACTTATGTCCTTTCTAAGGATTGAAAAATTAAGTTTCCAGCTACTTGAATGCAGCGTCCTGTCTCACCTCCACCATCATCTCCGAGAACCCCACCCTGCAGAGGTAAACTTAAAAAGTTGTATGTAGGTGACATTGTTGTAAATTGATCCTGTTTCCTCAGAGACCTGTTTTTTGTGTTCTCGTCACTGCTGATTGATCATGGCAAGATCTGTGAGTCTCGGCTATCTTGTAACTCTCAGCTCCCAGATCTCGCCGGTCCAAGCCTCTCTGACAAGCTGATTTATAATGATTTGTAAATAAACACTTCCATTTATTGGAGGTGTTTATTTGTAAAGCAACTCAGTGTCACGTCCTTGCTGAAGTCATTTGTCTGCCTTGGAAAGGAAGATTAAAAAAAAAAAAAAATGGAGTCATCCTTGGGTATACTGGTAGGTAGAATCAGGATTGAGAGTCTGAGCAGTGTTTCCACTGAGATTTCACCTAGAATCACAAGTGTCATTCTTAAACCTACAGACTACACTCAGTGATTAAGTGACTGACTGAACAGTCCCTTAAGTGAGTGTGAAGAAACTACCCTCCAAGTAGACCAGCAAGCTTACTCCTTATAAACTATAATTTTAGGGCTTATGGAAAACACATCCATCCATCTGCTCAGTGATCGCACAAATTTACAGCACACAAAGGCTCTGATTACATAAGGCTTAAATTGCAAATATCTTTGTTGGGTCTACCGCAGGAACTTGCATTCATAGTAATGATACACTATGATGAGATAGGAAAATGATAGATAGACTGATACTTATTTACTTATTTGTTTATTCATCAGCTATACTCTGAGTATGTACTGTGCGATCATGTTTTTTTTTCCCTCTTTGTCTTTTCTTTTGTAAATTCTTCCTTTCTTCCTTGTTGCCTTTCTTTCTTTCTTCTTTCCTTTTCATTTTTTTTTCTTTTCATTCCAAAGTGTCATTATGATGTTAAGTCCAAAGCTCAATACAGAACTCTCCTCAGAAAAGACAAAGCAAAGGTGGCCTCCTGTGAGCACCTTAGGTCTAAGGTTCTAAAGGGCTTTTATTCTGATGCTTTGACATCATGGTACTTTGCTCACTCAGAAGAGATTGTCCCTCCCAAAGTTAGCTAATTCCTTCAGAAAGCAAACAACTTCTTCAAGAGTGTACCTTTCATATGCAAACCAACCAATGCAGAGTCCATATTCCACACTCACCTCCTTTGTCTAGCTTATACTCTAGCCCAATATCCACTAGCCCTAATCACCCCAGAGCTAGAAGCTGGAGGACTAAGTCAGCCTCTTTGCTGCAGAATCCACTGAAATTACTCTAATTGGCCAATCCTAAAGCTGTTTACGTGCCTCACAAGTTCCTTCCTGCAGAAACCACAATGGGGGCTCTTGCCATGTTTCCCCTGGCTCCCTCTACCTCCTGACTAATGCTGCTGTTTCCCCATGTAGCCCTTCATGGAGTGATGTGCTTCCTACTTCTAGGTAACTGTGAGTACCACAAATTCTTCCTTCATGACCATCATTTCCATGGTTGCATGTATTACCATATTTGATTAAAACAAATCCCAGATGTCTTTTTGAAACACCTAAACACTTGGAATCAAATGATTGGTGAGAAATGTTCTCTTGTCCATTTCCCTGACCTCTTTCCTAGGCCCACCAGTGAATGAGGTCTGACCACTACTATACAAAAAAAAAGTGAATCCAAAGGATACCTACCAGGGACGAGAAAAGTAGCCAAGCATTTTCCCCAAGAATACATGCAGATGGCCAACAGATGCATGAAAAGATGTTCCATGTCATTAATCATTAGGGAATGCAAATCAAAACCACGATGAGAGATCACCTCATACCTGTTAGAATGGCTAAACTTGAAAATATAAGAAACAACAAATGTTGGTGAGGATGTGGAGAAAAAGGAACCCTGATGCACTGTTGGGGGGAAGGTAAACTGCGGCAGCCATGGAAAACTGTATGGAGGTTGCTCAAAAAATTTAAAATAGAAATATCACATGATCCAGTAGTTTCACTATTGGATATTTACCAAGAGAAAAAGAAAACAGTAACTCAAAAAGGTATATGCACCTCTATGTTTATTGCAGCATTATTTACAATAGCCAATGTGTGGAAACAGCCCAAGTGTCAATCATTAAACGAATGGCTAAGGGAGATGTCGGGTAAATATACAGTGGAATATTACGCAGCCATAATGAAGAATAAGATTGTGCCATTTGAGACAGCATGGATGGACCTAGAGAATATTAGGCTTAGTCTGAAATAAGTCAGACTGAGAAAAACAAATACCTTATGATTTCATTCATAAATAAAATCTAAAAAAAATGAATAAACAAACAAAAAGAAGAAGCAGAACTGCGAATACCAAGATCCGACTGATGGTTCCGGGGGGGTGGGCGGTGGCAGGCTGGACAAAATGGGTGAAGGGAAGAGGGAGATACAGGCCTCCAGTTAGAGAATGAGTGAGACACCGGAATAAAAGGCACAGCATAAGGAATACAGTCAATGATACTGTAATAACGAGGGAACAGGGCAGATGGCAGCTATACTTGTGGTGAACAGAGCATATAATGCCTAAACTTGTCAAATCACTAAGTTGTACACCTGTTAAAAAGAGAGAGAGAGAGAAAGTGAGACATCCTTAGTGCCTAGCCCCTGAGCTGCCGAAGCTTCCTGACACAGGAGAGAAAGAGAGAGCCCACGCCACCATGTCAGACGTGAAGCAGACATGAGCTGAGTGTCAGTTCACATTCTCTCTCCAGTAAAATGCTCAGAGACAGAAAGTTGAACAAGACAGGGCCCTGTCCTGGAAAGGGTCACCTGCTGGTGTGGGGGGAGATAACTGCTGTAAACATGTAAACAGCTGTTAGTGAAGCTTTGGGGACAGGTGGAATTTGCACGAGGTCTTGAAGGTTATGTAGAAGTTTACTAGAAGGTGGTCAGGTTGGGGATCTTAAGTAGAGGAATGTTATTTTCTTTGCAAAAATAAAAAGGGTGAGAAAGGATATGTAGAGTTTGTCTTCAGAATCTCGACAGTGTTTCTGTGGTTTTGCATTTCTCCTTAGTTGGTATTTTCTCCATTAGCCACTTTACCTAGTCAGCAAATCCCAGGAGCAGAATCATGGAGTTGCAGCTTGTCACTCTCAGGAGAGAAATCATCCCAGGGGATTGTGAGTTTGTAGGCACAGACCCGGGGCCTCCCTCCTCTTTAGAGCCCAGTCTTTGTCTCCAGAGGCTGGGGGTGGGGGTAGGCAAGGTAGGGGGAGAAGGCAGGGTGGTTTACATGTGTCTGGCCCTTTAGGAGCCCCTTGAAATAATACCAAAGAGAGAGAAATGAGCTGGTGAGTTGAATTTTTAGCAGATTTACACTCTACCAATACTGCACTTTATTCCTCAGCAAACTGTTATGTACCCAACTCAAAGCATTGGGAAATGAGGGTGAAGCCAGGGGGTGGTACTCCCAAGGGGCCATCCATTAAGCACAGGGATCGTATTTTTCCAGTGACCCAGACCTTTGACATTCACTGAGGCCCACCAGTTCCCAGACTCCAAAGGTTTGCAAAATGTAGCCTTCTAAAAAAACGTAAGGCCCTCCATTACTTTCACATTGCTCTGCTTTGTCCAGACCCAAACTGTATTCATTTCCAAAGGAAATGACTCTTGAGAATCTGAAGAGCCTCAATTATTGTAAATCACTCTGCAAGACAAGCACAAAATTAATCAGGGCTCCTGTGTTTGGCGTCAGTCAGGCATGCAGCAGAGAATGCCATAAATAAAAACACCCAGTTCGACTGTTGCCCAAAACCTCAGGGAAGTCTGTTTTCAATAGGGTAAAATAAAGCCATACCGCATACTCACCACACTCTACTGTGTGAGGGGACAAACCAGAAAATGTCTCAAATATATAAGTAAATAAAGCCCCGATTAGCAAGAAGTAGCTCCTTTACTACTAACCCACCAGCAGAGATACTGATTTTCTTAAAATGTTAAAAAAATGTATCTTTATTTCCCACTATTGGCTCAGCAGTGTTTCCAGCTAGACAATATTCAGGGTTTAAGGCCTTTTCGTAGTCATGACTGCCAATAGGGGTCCTTTGATCCTTTTGCAATTTGCTAGCCATTGTTTCCTCGTTTGATGTTGGGGAATCTGAGGTTGTTCTAAGTGAGGAAATCTCAGAGATCTCCTTTGCAGAGGAGAAACACACACACACACACACACACACACACACACACACACACACGATAAATCATCATCCTGAGCCTTTACCAAGTATCCAAGTATCCATACCCGGATAAAAGCGTTACATGGCAACTCTTGAATTGTCACACTGAGAGAAGGACTTTTTGTTGCCCCCATTTTATACATGAGAAACCTAGAGAGGCTAAATGAGCTGTTCAGGATGACGTGGTCATAAGGGGAGGAGCAGGGACTCAGGCCAGGTTCCACTGGCCTGCAGACCTCTCTCCTACGGCCTAACTCCAGCAGGTGGAAGGACTGGGTTACAATGAGTGGTGAGGCAGGATGAGGACCTAGCCTTCCCAACACCCTTTAGTTTCCCTTTTTCATAAGGTTGCCTAATAGGGTCACAGGACAAGAACGTAAGTCCTTTACTTTGAGTTCACCCCAGATTATGAGCTTCTTGGAGAAGACACTACATTCCTTCCACTTGTATGCCCAATGCCTACTATCGTCAGGCCTTAGGTTATTGATCAATTAGTTTTTGTTGAATGAGAGAATAAGGGAATTCAACCAAAAGTTATGTTCCCTTCGGCAGTTTTCAAATTTCAGGGGAACAACACATTGCTGCCAATTTCTAGAGATAAAAGTTGCAGATACACTTTGGTTTCCAGAAACATCTATGTATGTATGACTTAAAAAGCAGAGTCATTCCATACTGTTATCACTGGTCCACCCACCCTAACATGTACATTAGACATCAAGTGGGCAAAGGAGCTCAGGGTAATTATAGGGCTGTCCTGACAAGATGCTTGAATGTAGATGAGATTCACCTCCATTAGTGACACCTTCCTGGCCCTTGTCTCAGACACAATTCACTTGAGAGAAAGAGGGGAGAGCTATAGCCAAAAATACTAAAATGGCAAAATGTATTCGAAGATGTTTCTTATCTCCCAAGGAAAACTACATGTAAAAAATACTTAGATGTTGGGGTGCATGGGTGGCTCAGTCAGTTGAGCTCCTGACTTGATTTTGGCTCAGGTCACGGTTGTGGGATTGAGCCCCATATCAGGCTCTGTGCTAAGCCTGGAGCCTGCTTAAGATTCTTTCTCTCTCCCTCTGCCCCTTCCTCACTTATGCTCTCTCTTTCTCAAAACAAAAAACAAAAACAAACAAACAAACAAATAAAAACTTAGATGCAAAATTGATTGTTCAACAGATAGCTTTCAAAAAATTCTCTGTAATTTCACATACTGTCCATTTTGTTTCTTTTTGAAATCCTAGTCACCCAATCCTCAAACATATGTTTTATCAGACTAGTTAGGTATCATTTCCCTTACTTGGATTTGTAGATATACTTATATAGTAGGGCTGTTTTTGGAAAAAGGTGATCGGGGTGGGGGAGTTAAGAACAGGACAACTGAAATCAGACTGTTGAGGTTCAAATCTCTGCCCCGCCTCCTACCAACTGAGGGACCTAGGCAAATTATTTCATCTTTTGTGCCTCATTTTCCTTAATTGTAGATGAGGCAATAATAAGAGTACCAAAGCACCCAGTCCCATAGGGATGCTTTAAGGATTAAATGAAATGGAGAGCTTATAGCTCGTGGTGAATACATAAGAAAGGTTAAATATCATTACTGATTTTCTGTTACTATCAATTTACCTTATTTCTTTAGATCTCATTTGGAATAGTGTGAGTTGAGAGCGGTCTACCACTCAAAAGTTCGCTTTGATAATAAAGCTGTCCCTTTATTTGCCAGTGATGTCTTAAAGTTGCAAGTTCCATTTCCACAGCCCAGGTAAGATGCTATCACCCCATGCTCCACGTACACGCACCTGAGTCGTTTGGGATTAAACTGAAGACAGCAAGCAAAAATTACCTTCCCTACATATAGAAATGACAAAAGTGACCAATTATGATAGCCTACTGGAACGTTATATAATTTCTAATCTTCACCACCTTAAAAAGCAGACATTAGTATACTATTTTGTAAACGTAAACCTTGAAGCTCCAAGAGGTTCAGTAATCTATACAGCTACAAAGTAACTGGGATGGGTTTTGAATCCTGTGATTTCTGACCAAAGCCTACATTATATTGTATATACATTTTTTTCCTTAGACAGAGGTTCTTAGCCCTGACAACACATCCGAATCAACTGGGAAGCCTTTAAAACTAACACCCAGGACCCATTCAGAACATCTCAATCACAGCCTCAGGGGGTGGAGGGAAAACTCAAGCACCTGCAATTTACAAAGATTTCCAGGTGGTTCTATGTGCAGTTGGGACTGAGGAGCATTTATCTAAACTCTGCTAATTTCAGAAATGTGTAAAATAAAGATTAACTTAAAGGAGCAGCTTTTGAATTATTTATTTCATTAATTAGCTTAAATGAAAGGCTTATTTTGCATCATTTACTCAATGAATTCATTTCCCTTCAGACCCTTTAGGATTCCCTAAAGAATCCTACATCGCTTTCTTTGTTTCTAGATGAGCTATACAATCGTTTCTGGTGATTTTTCATTCAAAAAGTATTTTTGAAAGCCCCCTTTGTGTTTTACTGTCAGTTATGAGAGACAAAGAAAAATGAGCCAAGGACTTTGTGATCATTATTGCCACAAATACCTAGGGAACATTCTGTTGATACTGAACATTGTAAAAGCCTTTGGATATATAGTAGCAAACAATGAACATGTAATTCCTGTCCTGGAACTTACAGTCTAGAACAGAGACAGGAGCTCGACATGTAAATCAGTAAATAAACATATAATTACAACTTATGGTTAATGTTACAAAGAAAACAAACTGACAAGTTCCCTTTTAGATTGAGTAGTCAAGGATAGTTTCTAGGAAACAGCTTCAGAATCATGAGGCTCTTAGACAGTTGTCTGGTGTATTCGTAATAGCTAATGAGTACACCCAGGATACACTTTTGATGTCTGACTTCTTTCTCTAGTATAATGATTTTAAGATGCATCCATATTGCCAAGCATATTAATAGTTCATTTCTTATTATCACTAAGTAGAACTTGAGTGTATGAATACACCCTTGGTGTTTTTTATGCACATGAGATTTTAGGTATCACTGAGTTAGACTGTTAGTTCCTTAAGGACAGGGCAATGACTAATACATTTATTGTCCTTTCCAAAACTTGACTGATGATATTGGAGTTAGCAGGTATTCAATACACATTAGCTGATTGGATGAATTTTTATGCTCACAGATAATACCCATTGTTCTCTTTCCAACGTCCTTACCCACGATATACATAGACTCTTTTTTTTTCAACTTAAGTAGATATGAATTTCAGCTAGTAAAAGACAGGAGCAATTGAATATTTCCACAGAAGGCAAATGATTCATTTGGGGTGAAGGCAAGGAATCCCATCAACAGATTATACCTGTTAATCAAGACTCTTTAAAATCAAGTGTGTAGGGGCGCCTGGGTGGCGCAGTCGGTTAAGCGTCCGACTTCAGCCAGGTCACGATCTCGCGGTCCGTGAGTTCGAGCCCCGCATCAGGCTCTGGGCTGATGGCTCAGAGCCTGGAGCCTGTTTCCGATTCTGTGTCTCCCTCTCTCTCTGCTCCTCCCCCGTTCATGCTCTGTCTCTCTGTCCCAAAAATAAATAAACGTTGAAAAAAAAATTAAAAAAAAAAAATAAATAAAAATAAAATCAAGTGTGTCTAACACAAGAAGCTGTTGCCCCATTTCTGTTTTTTTTTCTTAATTTTTTTAATGTTTATTTTTGAGAGAGAAAGAGCATGAGCGGGGGAGGGGCAGAGAGAGAGAGAGAGACAGACGGACAGAATATGAAGCAGGCTCCAGGCTCTGAGCTGCCAGCACAGAGCCTGATGCAGGGCTTGAATCCACAAATCATGAGATCATGACCTGAGCTGAAGTTGGATGCTTAACCAACTGAGCCACCCAGACACTCCTATTGCCCCATTTCTAAACGTGCCCATGGTTGGTTCTTACACTTTAACAGTAATGTTAATTACACAAAATTCAGATGCATAGAGAGTTGAGGCCACTACTATAAGACCTTAGGAAAACCTGGCTTACCTTTATTTATGTCTGCCTCCATTGTAGCCCGAGTCGCGGCATCAAGAATCTAGTAGGTGCTTAATAAATGCTTCTGCAATTGAACTGAATGTAGACAAATTGCTTCAATAGCAAATATGAACATTTAAAATGTGCTTATCCATAATGATTAGCTTGGGAAATGCTAAAAGAACCCTTTACCCAGCCTGCAATTTTTTTCCAGCCTGCATTTTAATGCAGGGCACATTTCTCAGCTGAGATTGATGTTCTCCTTAATATCTCCCATGAAAGCAGACTAACATTTAAAACAGTTAGTATGCCAGAAGTGGTCTCAGAAATGTCAGTGTGGTGTGTGATTACAAGCTGGTCTAAAGGAAGAAAACAAGCTCCCTTTAATAAACTGAGCTTTACTCAGGCTGCAGAAACCTATTAAGATGAAGGGAAACTGACTTGACCAAACTGAAAGGCTCAGGCATATTATTACCTATTAAAAGTCATTCATTAATTATGGGGAAAAGCCATCAAGAGGAATTCCATTTTGATAAAAGGGAGTTAAAAGATGTTGCACGTTGAGGCTCTGGAGTCAGAATGAAGTCTGCCACGTCCTAGCTGAGACCTGGGGCAATGCACCTAACCTCTCTGACCTTTGATTTCCTGACTTCTAAAAAAGATGCTAATATTCACCACCTCACTGGACTGTGCTCTGATTGGATTGTAGAATGCATTGTATGATGCCTTGCTAGGCTACTTGTGGACAGAGGTCCAGCTTGTCAGCATCATTGGAGAGCCTGTTAGAAATGCAGAATCTTGGGAATGCAAGCTGGTGCAGCCACTCTGGAAAACAGTCTGGAGGTTCCTCAAAAAACTAAAAATAGAACTACCCTACGACCCAGCAATTGCACTACCAGGCATTTATCCAGAGGATACAGGTGTGTTGTTTTGAAGGGACACACGCACCCCAGTGTTTATAGCAGCACTTTCAACAATAGCCAAAGTATGGAAAGAGCCCAAATGTCCATTGATGGATGAATCGATAAAGAAGATGTCGTATATATATACAATGGAGTATTACTCGGCAATCAAAAAGAATGAAATCTTGCCATTTGCAGCTATGTGGATGGAACTGAAGGGTATTATGCTAAGTGAAATCAGTCAGAGAAAGACAAAAATCATATGACTTCACTAATATGAGGACTTTAAGAGACAGATGAACATGAGGGAAGGGAAACAAAAATAATATAAAAACAGGGAGGGGGACAAAACAGAAGAGACTCGTAAATGTGGAGAACAAACTGAGGGTTACGGGAGGGATTGTGGGAGGAGGCAATGGGCTAAATGGGTAAGGGGCACTAAGGAATCTACTCCTGAAATCATTGTTGTACTATATGGTAACTAATTTGGATGTAAATTTAAAAAATAAAAAAATTAAATTAAAAAAAAAGAGTGTATTGTAACCCCCCAAAAAAATAAAAAAATCAAGTCTTTGAAATGCAGAATCTTAAGCCCCACCCCCAACCTACCGAATCAGAAACTACCTTTTAGCAAGATCCCCATGTGACCTGCACCCCCTCACTGTTTGAAACGTGGATCTTAAGCATATTACACATGCTAGGCATACAGTAAATGCTCGATAAATATCCACGGCTATTATTCTGTGGAAAATTTTAGACATATGAATAATATTGAGTTCCATCCTCTCCCACACGATGGGTGCACTTCTTTACCATACTGTGCATGTCTTTCGTCTTCTGAAAATTCCTTCATCATTGCAACGATCAACAGTGTTTTCCTATACAGTATTCAGTGTGAACTCTGACTTCCTTAGGTTTGATGATCAGTTATAAGACTAGAATTGAAGAGCAGACATTTATCACTGGGCCAGAACTCGTTGTGGACTGTAAACTCACAGCTTCATCCAAGCTGGCAGGCTGACATTAAAACGAAATTATTAATTGACTTTTTTTTCCCTCCCGTCAGCCATAAACAAATATATCGGTTTTAAATGGATTCTTCACACTCTGGCAGCTTGATCACCACTTTCCATACCCACAATTGATAGAAAAAGATGAAAGATAAGGGAACAAAGGGTGAAAATGTAACAGGTGATCATTTCTAGTTTCCTTGAGCATATTTTAACAGAGCTTGGAGACAGTATGCATTGGGCTGGGGATAACAGCGCTTTCTTCGTGGATTTTTTTCTGCTTTGCATCAGAACCTGTGTGTGCTGTCTGAAAACCTCTAAGGGAAGTAAGCAGTTCAGCCTGTGGCTTTGAGAATTCTCCATCTCCCCTGAGTAGGAGCTGGGAGTGTAGCAAAGGCAATATATTCCTTAGGACTTCCAAATGGAAAGTAACCAATTTCCAATGCTCGGAAATTCTTCAGAGCAGCATGCTGGCCCCAAAGCAAATGGACTGAAGGTGGTGTCAGGCTGTAAAAAGTTAATTTACTAGAGTCTCTTCTAAGAACAGCCGAGTCATTTTGAATTCTAATGCAACATACCTGCCCTTCTTCCACAATCGTAGCTGAACTGACACGGAAGCAATGGGAAACATTTACAATAGGAGCTTTAAAAAAAGGCAGTTTGTCCTGTTTGTGTGCTGACCTGAGTTGTTATCCCTCTCTGCCTTCATTGAAAATGCCTTCTGGTCTCCTAAGAATTGCACCAGCCTGCTGCCTGGATCAGGACTCCCTGCACATCCCTGAACATTGTTTGCACGCTGTCATATTGAGAAAGTACAATTTGTATTCGGCAACTGCTCCCTACACACACACACACACACACACGCACACCCACACACTCCCTTCTTGGGTCCATTTGCCCCACCTTTAACAGGGCCCTCAAGTTGTCCCCAGCCCTTCTTATACCAGAGATGATGAATCTAATAAAATAATTAACATTGCCATGTCTGTGTGTGATAACACCTCTATTTTTAAAAATGTATTAGAAATGTTGAAGGCATATACAACAGGCACAAAGAATAGGGGCTTTTCTAGGAACCATATTCCAAAGGCTTCCTGTCTCATGGAGAACAAAACGCTGGCTTCCCAGCCTTTCGTGAGACACTTCCCCCACCTGCCAACCATTCTCCTCCTTCTCACTGCCCCCTCCCGCTCCTCTTGTTTCCCCGTGTTCGCTCCCAGAGCATTAGCACTTAGAGCTTTCTCTGCCTTCGACACTCTTCTCCTAAATATCTATTTGACTCCCTTCCCTGAGTTCTTCAGGTCTCTGCTCATCAGAGAAGCCTTTCCTCACAAGCCCTGCATGAAGGAGCCATCTCTGGCCCACCCCAATCTCTACCTTTCATAATCCCATTAACTGCTTTGTTTTCCTCCATAACACTGACCACGTAAAGCATATATTTAGTTGTATATTAACTTATTACCCGGTTGCCATAACTAAAATGTTAGTTCCGTGAAGTCAAGGATTTTGTCTGTTTGGGTATTGTCGTTTTTTTGTTCTTTGTTTTTTTTTTTTTTTTTCCCTGCAGAACCTAGAAAAAAAACCTGAGACAAGGCAGGGCTCAACAAATAACTAACGGATGATTGATTTCAGCTTTATCAGCGCGCACGTTCCAGCTTAAGAAAGTTATAAATAATATGACATAAACATAATAAAAATTATGTACGTATGTATGTTGAGTTCACCCACGTATCCTTCCTGGTTTCAGCCCCCTTTCTCTCTCCTAGGAGTAATCACTATCTTGAATGCGGGGCTTATCATTTTCATGCATTTCTTTGTCTTACATATGTATGTGTTTTTAGGCAATACATAGCATTGGGTAGCTGTATACTGTACTGTGGCATGGCATTCCATAGCACAGCATGGCATAGTGTAGTATTATAGTGTAGTAAAGTATGGTATAATTTAGTACAGTGACGCCTAAACAACATGGGTTTGAACTGTTTGAACTGCTCAGGTCCACTTGGATTTTTTTTTCTGCAAAAAGCTTTATTGTTTCCATTTGGTCCACAGCTAGAGAGAGCGCTCCAGGGTGGTTAAAAAGCTGCCTAGTGGCTACAGGAAGACACTAAGGCAGCAGCCCCGACACCAGGGTCATGCCAGAGGGGACCCTCCAGGGCTGCCAAGCCCCTGAGGCTCTTACTCATGCTTGAAGGTGAGCCTTTTGAAGAGCTACTTGCCCAACCCAGCCTGCAGAGGTGAGTCAGGTGGTCGCCATCTCCTTGATGAGTTTCACTTCCTCATCCAGAAAGCACTTCTCCCCGAAGCTACAGAACCCGTGGCATGCAGCTCCCAAAGTGCCTGTTTCAGGTTCTCTAGAATCATGGCAACTTTCTTGGCCTCAAGGTTTTACCCCACTCATCTTGAAACAGCTTCTGCAAGTCCTCGAAGAGGGCACTGGTTTCTTCAAAAGATGCCGGGTGCCCTTAAGGTTCTCCTCAGCCAACTCTTCGAATGAGTGTCCCATGCCCTCCAGAGCCACATCCTGGAGGTGAAAAGAGAAGCCCAGAGAAAGGTAAGTGTAGGAGGCCTACAGGTTGACCAAGTGGTTGGCCACAGCTTCCACCTCTGGAATAATTCTGAGAAATCTGGAAGCTCCTGGTTGATGAGCAGTAAGGAGTTAAGCTCAGAAGATGGTGCTGGCTGGTCTCAAAGTCAGGGGATGGCTAAGAAGAAGGAAAAGAGGTTGAAGGGTGGTGGGAGACACCCCTGAGGCACCTCAGGGAAGGGACATCCCTGAGTCTGTTCTGTGCATACACTTTGAAGCAAGAGGCAGATCCAGAGATCACTGGGCACATTGCCTAAAGGTGGAGTTTTTACGGTGCAGTACTGTAAATGTACTTTCTCTTCCCTATGATTTTCTTAATACATTTTCTTTTCCCTAGTTTACCTTATTGTAACAATACGTTATGTAATATATAGAACATACAAAATATGGAACCTCATGGACTGTTATTAGTAAGGCATTTATTTGATCGACAGTAGTAGGCTATTAGTAGTGAAGTTTTGGGGAAGTCAGAAATGTTAAGTGGATTCTCATCTGGGTAGTGGCGGTCAGTGCCCCAATCCCTGTGTTGTTCAAGGGGCAACTGTATGATCATATAGAAAAGAACAGTATTTCTCAAACTTTGCTTCATATCAGAATTACCAGAGCAGGTTTAAAAAATCCTGATGGCCAGATCCCACATGGGTTTCATCTGAAAATCCCTACAGGTGGGCCCCTTGCATTGTTTGTTTAAAGCTCCCAGGTACTTTCAATTGCAGCCAGGCTGTAGGACCAGGGGCATTGCCCTCAATAAAGTGCTGTGGTCGGGAGTCAGGCTGCCAGGATTGGAACACGGCCTCCAAGTCTCTCCAGAGTTTCTACAGTTCCTGGACACCATAGTTAGTCACTCGAGGGAGGAGGAGCATACCGCATCCCTTCTTAAAGATACTGACCAGAATCAAATGCCGTTCCTTCCACTAACCTCTCTGACACCATTTTCCTGAGATATTTAACTCTCAGTTATTTTAATAGGGCCTTCCATCTAAGTCATGGGAAATCTCCAAAAACACAATGAATTTCTTGCTTCAGAACACTCATTATGTGTCTGAATTTGTATAACTTTTTTTTTTAATTTTTTATTTCTGACAGAGACAGAGCACGGGTGGGGGAGGGGCAGAGAGAGAGGGAGACACAGAATCCGAAGCAGGCTCCAGGCTCGGAGCTGTCAGCACAGAACCCAACGCGGGGCTCGAACTCACAAACCATGAGTTCATGGCATGAGCTAAGGTCGGACGCTTTACCGACTGAGCCACCCAGGCACCACTGTATAACTTTATTGAAGTACAACATATATCAGGAAGAGTGCTCTCATCATAACTGTACAGCTAGATGACTGTTCACAAACTGAACACACCCACATGACAAGGACCCTGATCAAGAAACCCACCAGGGTCTACTCTCTAAAGGGTCACTACTCACCTGACATCTAACAGTGGATTAGTGTGGCCTATTTGGCCTTCACATGCATAAAATTATATATACTCTTTCATCCAGTTCTTTCATTTGACATATTACAAAACACATTACTTCTTAATCTCTTTTAGATTTAAAAAGAGAGTTATAAAAGGGAAAACCATGCAGAAAAGTAACCAAAAGACACTAATTATAAATAATATATTTGCTTCACTACCTAGAAAAATCAGAGAATCAGTGAAAAGTGTTCTATAATTTATTTTTTAGAAGACAGTTACCCATTTTTCTTCAAAGAATAAAGAAACTTTTAGATTACCTATTTTACCAACTCATTCGTAGACCTGTCAGTGTGCTTTCGCATAATGTATATTACTTAGAAAACAATGTGAAGATAGATCATTTTTAAAGGCTTTGCTAGAAAGGCAAACGAGACCCACTCTTTGTGTCCTATTAACAGATTACAATGATCCATAATCCAAAATTCATTTTTATTTCCTCTGGGGTCATATGCTTTAAGAGATAAATGTGAACTCATGGTGATCAGTTTTTTTTTATTATATGAAATTTATTGTCAAATTAGTTTCCATACAACACCCAGTGCTCATCCCAAAAGATGCCCTCTTCAATGCCCATCACCTCCCACCCCCCATCATGGTGATCATTTTAAGCTAGTAACAATCTCATTCTGAAAATACCTCTTGATTGATTTATTTAACGAAATTTTCAGTGCTACAAATAGAATGTTGAGCAAAAAGAAACTTGGCTCCTGCCCTGATGGATCTTTAAGTCTGGTGAATGTCAGGTGTTAATCAAAGAGCCCTGCAAGTCAACTGAAACGTGACATTCAGAGCTGAAGGAGGCAGGCACAGCCCTATGAAGATGTATCAAAAGGGGGAACTGACATGACTGCGAGAGTCACAGACCGTTTCCCCACAGATGTGGTAGTGGGGCTGATGTTAAAAACACAGTAACAGAGGGAGTCTGGGTGGCTCAGTCGGTTAAGTGGCTGACTTCAGCTCAGGTCATGATCTCATGGTTTGTGAGTATGAGCCTGGCATCCGGCTCTCTGTTGTCAGCACAGAACCCACTTCAGATCCTCTGTCTCCCTCTCTTTCTGCCCCTCCCCTGCTTGCTCACTCTCTCTCTCTCTCTCTCTCTCTCTCTCTCTCTCTCTTTCTCTCACAAAAATAAACAAACATTGAAAAAAAAAAAGAACACACACAAAAACACGCACACACAGTAACAGAGACTCCTGGGTGGCTCAGTGGATTAAGCGTCTGACTCGATCTCAGCTCCGGTCTTGATCTCAGGGTCTCGAATTCAGGGTCATGAGTTCAAACTCTGCACTGGGTGTGAAGCCTACTTAAAAAAAAAAAAAAGCACAGTAACAAAAGAATGATGCTAGAATGTAAAACACCCTTGAAATTTTACAAACTGCATCCACAGAAACTGAGTGCAACACTTCGAGGCCGTTTGCCCAGAATACTCTCCATCATTCCTGCTAGTAGCCATACACACACACACACACACACACACACACACACACACACGCGCGCGCGCGCACACTGCTGTTTAGCTCTTATGCAACCTCAGATGTCACATGAAATTTCTTTCTTTAGGAGGAAGTCCCTGGATGTTCTTCATGCACCTAAAGTAGGTCAAGGTCCCCAGTTTTATACTTTCACATTACTCACCAAATCTTTCTAGTATTCATGATAGATTTCCTCCCCCTTTTTTTGTAACAAAAATAACACGAGATGATCTATAACATACTCATCACATGATGCCTTGGACCTCATGAATATGCAATAGACAGTAGCTCCCTAGTGTATTTAATGTGTATCAACTCTGCAAAAACCCTCTAACCTCTATGAGGCAGGAGCCACATGTCACGTTTTCCCCAGTAACCCCAACACTTGACGTGGTACTTGGCACTAGGAGGCCAGAACAGCACTGCACAGTGTTCAGCAGGAAGGCACTGCACTCAAGACCACCAAGGTTTGAATTCAGTGCCAGAAGGATGACCTTGGGCAGTTAGTTTAAATTCTTTTGCCTGCATGTCCCTTCCGGAACTAGACCCTGTCCTAAAACTTACCTCATAGGGTTGTGAGTATTTATCAATTGAAGGAACAGTGCCTGGCTCATAGTAAGGGATCCGTGCATTAACTATTAGTATTATTAGGTAAACTACCACCTTTCCACTCCGCCTCTTTAATGCTACACTAACAGAGTGATAGAATCTGAGAAAAGGAGAACTGAATCCTACAACCCAGTTCACACAGGGCCACTTCATGCATCTTGGGTCCTCCTTAGTTGAGTTAAGTGAACTTGAGCAGAACTGGTTTGGAAAAGACCTATACTGAGAGCCCCATTGAAAGAACTTATATTTTTAAATACTCCACTCGTCTTTCCCTCTTCCCATTTTACCAACTGGGTTTCTTTCCAATGTATATATGACTTCATGCCCTTTAATTTCAGAGGAATTCCAGTATTTTATACCTGAAAGGGAGCTGAGACATCACCATCTCCAGCATCAGTGACTTTTATGAGAAGAAACGGAGACCAGACACAAAAAGTGAGTGGAACAAGGTCACACAAACTATAGCAGATCAGGGATGAACAGGCATATACCTTGACTCTGACAGGCATACCACCTAGTGGTATGTTCTTTCTAACATACCACATGGTTTCCTAAGTGCTTTGGTTAATATTGTTAATATTTTTAGAACAAACAAGAGGAACTTGGTCCCATGTAATGGAAAAATATAGTAATAACTTTTTGGTATTTTCCCAAATGAAAATAGTAGCATGGATAATAAATATGCAAAGCAATAGTAATTTATACACATTAAATACATTAAGGCTAATCGTTATCGCATACTATCATGTGTCATTGTATGAAGCACAAAGTATGCATTAAGTCATGTTTTCCTTAAAAAGATAGGGGAGTAAGGGCACCTGGGTGGCTCAGTCAGTTGAGCCTCTGGCTTGATTTCAGCTCACGTCATGATCTCAGGGTTGTGAGATCAAGCCCTGAGTCCAACTCCATGCTAGGTTGGACTCTGCCCCTCCCCTCCTCGTCTCTCTCTGCCTCCCTCTTTCTCTCCGTCCTTCCCTCCCTCCCTAAAAAAAATAGGAAAAGATGAACATCACTAGTAAAATCTCAGCCAAGAGAGGTTAAACGACATGCCCAAGGTCACACAGCATGTCAGAGCGAAGATTTAAATTATATGAGTTTACCTGGAGCAGTGCTATCCAACTGAAATAGAATGCAAGCCGTACAATTTTTAATTTTCAAGTAACTGTATTTAAAAAGAGGTAAAATTAATTTTAGCAGCATTTTCTACTCAGCTCAACATATCCAAAATATTATCATTTCAATGTATAATCAATGTAATGTTTATTAATGAGATATTTAGCATTCCTTTTAATCCTACTAAGTTTTGAAATCTAGCACGATTTTACACTTAGAGCGCATCTCCATCGGAATGCTGAATTGTCAGCAGAAATACCTAATCTGTACTTAGATCTCATGAAATGTAGAGTTGAAAAAGAAGACGCACATACCCAAATGGTTCTAAGCGTACTTAAAAGTTTCCTGTAACTGGACGGGGTATCTATCTTTTAATTTAAATTTAATGTAATAGTAAATAAAATAAAAAATGTAACTCCGCAATCCCAGCAGCCACAGCTCAAGGAGTCAGCGGACTACACGTGGCTTGCACCTAGAGCACTGGTGGGCCCAGCTCCTGAGCCAAAGCCCTAACCACTACACTCTGCATCCTTTATCACGACTCTGACCTTGTCAGAGTGCTGCAAGGCCAGGTCTGTAGACGCCAGGAGAATGAGAATTGAGCTCCACGTTCTGATTCACGCAGGTCACTTGGGGCATCTTGGCTCCTCCCCAGCTGAGTTAACTGAGGCGTGGGGTAGACCCATAAATTTCATCAGGACTCATGTGAAAAGGGCCTCAATGAAAAATCCGGTGAAGTCATTAAGAATAGTCTCAGCAGATACCATATGATCGCACTCACACGTGTAATTTAAGAAACAAGACAAATGAACAAAGAAAGAGGGGACAAAACAAAAATCAGACTCCCCTGTAGAGAACAAACCGCTGATTACCAGAGAGGAGTTGAGTGGGGGGATGGGTGAGATAGGATACGGGGATTAAGAGCACACTTGTATTGGAGCTCCTGGGTGGCTCAGTTCGTTAAGTGTCTAACTTCTGCTCAGGTCATGATCTCATGGTTCGAGCCCCTACGTTGGGCTCCCTGCTGTCAGCACAGAGCCTGCTTCGGATCCTCTGTCTCCCTCTCTCTCTGCGCTTCCCCCACTTGTGCACCTGCACTCTCTCTCAAAAATTAATAAACGTTAAAAAAAACACACATATTGTTGAGCGCTGAGTAATGTATAGCATTAAGTCACTATATTACACACCTGAAATTAATATAACACTCTGTGTTAACTATACTGGTATTTAAAAAAAAGAATGGAGTCTCAGTAGCAGCAAAGAATATGTACCCAGCAGAAGCAAAGAATATAATATTAGAATGAACAAATCTATAAAGACACCTGGGACTTCTGAAGCAAACGACAGTACTTACTAGACAAGAGAAACAGTGATTACCTCTGAGGTTAAGGGAGCCAATAGATCACCTCTCCCCGTTACATTTGAGAGTATGTTTAATTGTTAGAAATTTTACGTTTGGATCATTCCAGTGTAAAAATTCCAACATGGTGGGCAGAAGGTCTGGAAATGTACATATTCCTCAGAAACACTTAACTTACCACGTGGGTCATCCTGGATTTCAGACAATTGCTTCCTTAAATAATAATTTGTCAGTCACTTTTTTCCGTTTAATAAATATTTATTGAGAAGGAGCCATGCATTAAATAGTTTACACATATTACTATCTCACAGGAACCATTAGGACAACCTATAGGGAACAAGCTGCTATTATCCCCAATTTACAGCTAATGGAATTGAGACTTTCTCTAGACCCAAGCTATGCTATCCTGATGCATGCAAAGCACACAGGTTAAAAAAAAAACCCAAAGAAATTGGGTATTTCCAGAGGGAAGATGCTAAGTATAAGAGGGGTCAGAACTTGTGCTAAGCTCATGACTTTGAATTTATCTTGAAGAAAATAAGAAACTACTGGGGGATTTTTAAAGAGGAGACTCACATGATGTTATTGGTATTTTATAGCATATCCATTAAAATCTTTTTGTTGAAGGCAGATGAAACCCCAGTGCAAACTGGAAACATAAAGAAATATTTATTATTTCATGTCATTGAAAAGCCCAGCAGGCTTCAGGTAAACTTTGATCCAGGTGCTTAAGATATGTTACCAGGTTTTAGCTTCTGTTTCCATTTCTTCTCGTTTCTCCTTGTAGAAAATTGGTTTTGGCAGTCTCACTCCCTGTGCTCCAAACACATGCATCAACACTTTTCTGAATATAGAATTCCTCGTTTGTGTCCAGTGGGGCAGAGAGTGCTTGTTCTTCTTGGAGCTTACCAAAAAAAATGCCTCTAGTTGAATCTCTGATTGGGCTGATTAGGTAGTGCGTACCCATTTATGAACTAAAAGCACAGGCAAGGGGAACAGTCTTCAGTGGGCAGAGGCCTGGGTCACAAGATCTACCCCTGGAGCTGGGGTGGAATCTGCTTCATTCAGAAGCTCGTGGCTGAGACTGGAGGAGGAGTCCCCAAGGAAGTTCAACATCCCAGCCTAATGAATCATTTTTGCGCCTTTTTTATTTTAATGTTTAGTTTTGAGAGAGACACTGCAAGAAGGGAAGGGGCAGAGAGAGAGAAGATCCAAAGCCAGCTCTGTGCTGACAGCAGAGAACCTGATGCGGGGCTCGAACCCACAAACTGTGACACAATGACCTGAACCAAAGTTGGCTGCTTGACAAACTGAGCCACCCAGGTGCTCACCCGGAGCCACTTTTGCTCTTAGGGAAACCTAAAGATGTTGGCCATTCTGTGCTCCCTGATAACATCAAGTGAGAAGTCAGTCTTTGCCTCTGGATGCCTAATGCCAGAGTCAAATTTTGATACGACTTAATTTCTTCTTTTTTTGTGACAACAGTTACATTCTAAAGAAAAGATAAATTTGTGAGGTGATAAGTGTGTTACTTAACTAGATAGGGGAAATCCTTTCGTAGTATATACATGTATCAAATCACAACAAGGTACACTTAGATATCTAAAAATTGTATAGGTCATTTATGCCTCAATAAAGCTTAATGAAAAAACTTTTTTTCAGAAGTAGTAAGTGTCCTACATGATGCTATGGTTGGTGAGACATTGGTCCAATAAAGGGCAGAAGTAGGGCTCACGTACTACAAAGCAAAGGGAGAATAAGCTGGATGTGCTTGTCATTTATTTATTTATTTATTTATTTATTTATTTATTAAAAAAAATTTTTTTTAACATTTATTTATTTTTGAGACAGAGAGAGACAGAGCATGAACGGGGGAGGGTCAGAGAGAGGGAGACACGGAATCTGAAACAGGCTCCAGGCTCTGAGCTGTCAGCACAGAGCCCAACGCGGGGCTTGAACTCAGTGACCGCGAGATCATGACCTGAGCTGAACTCGGCCGCTTAACCGACTGAGCCACCCAGGCGCCCCTATGCTTGTCATTTATACTGGTCAGAAGAAGGAATTCATCAGTCTTCCCTCAAAATGGTAGCCATGGCCAAAGAAGACATCCCATCGTTTTCCATTATCATAATTTGTTGGCCCTTGTCTCCAGTGACAGTAATAATCTCTGTGGTGGGAACTCACTGCAAAATTTACCATTCTCAGCTCTTATAAGGAGCAGTAAATTTCAGCAGGGAAAAAAAGATTATTTGTGTAAAACAAAACCAGCAAACATCTCCAACTAGCTCTAAAAGAAAAACAGAAATGAAAGTTTGCGTTTCAGGTTGCAAATTACATGCTTTATTTTCTATGATTGATTTTTACCAGTTAATTAGGATTCCTTATTAAATCAAACACTTCCCCCCAAGGGAAGCTGTAAATCTTTATTTACCTTTTTATCTTTCTTGACAAATAAATTACATTTTTGTGGTATTATTTCTGCTTTTACAACCTAACCTTTTTCATAACAAATGCTTATGGAAACCAGTTGTTAATTAAACACCAAAATGTAATCATGAAAGAATGATTTCCAGTTGGTTCCAAATTCCCTTGAATTGAAAAGTTTAAAAGAAAAAAAGGAAGCTAAAATGAACTTTTTAACAGTTTTGGTATTATATTTCAGTTTCTGCCCTCATGCAAAGTAAACTAGAAGAATCAAGACACAAGGGCAAAATAACAGATTGCACCAAATTTTATTGTACCTTGATGTTTGGAACATCTGCTTGCTGAGGCTATAAAATCCATATTTAAGTCCCACCATACTAAAACATTAGCTTGGTGAGGACAGGATAGTTCTGCTTATTTTTTGCCCATCATAGAGGTTTAAGAAATTTGTTGAGCGAATAAATTTAAGATGAGGAATCTGATGCTCTAAGGGTCAGTTGAGTATGTAAGTCTTAGAGCTACAAGAAGATCAAAATTACAACACAGTTCTGTTAATTTGCCCCAAGCCAATGTTCTAATTTCTAGGTAGGATGATAATAAAATACAATATCCCTGGATATAGTGCTGTATCTTCAGCATCATTTCTCCTTCTGCTTTCCCATCGGCTCCCAAGTTTCATTGGAAATCCATAGGGTCTTTAAAATCTGACTCCATTCCCAACTCCAGGAGCACATGCCCTAAGTTAAGCCACCTTCTGGCTGCAGTGATTTGTTCAGGGTAGCATGACCCTGAACAATCCAATCAAATGACTCTGATGAACTTCAACAATAGATGTTCTTGCATATAATTTCTTGTTTCTTAAAGTTTATTTATTTTGAGAGAGACAGAGACAGAATGAATGGGAGAGGAACAGAGAGAGAGAGAGAAAGAGAGAACGAGAAAGAATCCCAAGCAGGCTCCAC